GGGGGGGGGGGGGGGGGGGGGGGGGGGGGGGGGGCATCAATCGCCTCTGCAGACTTGGGATGTTCAACGTTGCGTGTAGTCTCACGACTGTCGTGTGCAGAGCTCGTGCAGCCTCTGCCCGGTCTTTGAGCGGAGGAATACGAACGTCGAGCGCACCACTCAAGACTCCCACTGCGCTTCTCGTCACTCGATGCCAGACACAGAGATGGCATTGTGTGAGCGCACCGCGCATGAGCATACCCCATTCAACGCCGTGGTCTCGCACCCAAGACGAAGGTCAACGAGACTTCATCGGAAGCGCAGTCGAGCACAGTCGAGCACGAAAAGTCCGTCTGTCACAAGGAGAAGAACGGTTGGCTTGCATAGTAATCGGTCCATTACAAGAGTGCGAACGAAGGAGAAAGGAAGAATGTAGATGTATTCGACAAAGGGTGCGGATTGTTCGCCTTGATCGGGTCGCACGGTGCCTTTCTTCGACATGTCAAGGCTCACAACGAGTCGACTGTACTTTGGCATCTACAACTTCCACTCTGTGCGCTTGTACTTCGTCTCCGAAGCGCTGTCGTCGGTGCAGAGGAAGTACACATCACCGGGTGGCTGTGGGTGTGAAAAAGGTTTTCATCAGACAATCAATTGTGACAGTCTAGCGTTTTCCTTGACCAACGACACAATGTCCGCACGCATCATCAACTGTGCACACTCACAGTGGGTCGAACGCGAGAAGCCGGCAAACTCTTCGTCTCATCCTCGAGCACTTTTGCGAGTGTAGGAGCTTTTTCCTTGCCAGACAAGACAAAGACGACCCTATGGGCCTTCTCCAGTACGGGCAGAGTGAGCGTGATTCTCCTGAGTGGAAGTTTGGGGCTATCCTCGATGGGAGCGACCCATCGGGTGCGTTCCGCCAACAACTCGTGGCCAGGGAAAAGGCTGCAAGTGTGTCCATCCGGTCCCATGCCCAAAAGGATCAAGTCAAAAACTGGGTGTCTGACAGATTCTTTCCCAGCAAAAGCATCCCTCAATTGTTTCTCGTACTCGTCCGACAATTCCTCTGCATCGTCTAGCTGAGAAACATCAATCGTGTGGATCTGCGATCGCTTCAGCTCTGGCACTTTGCTAAAGAGCTCGTCGTTGCACAGACGAAAGTTGGAGTCTTCGTGATCGAGGGGAACCAAGCGCTCGTCTGCAAAGAAGACTTGCCTGCCACATCGGCGGAGGCGATGGTGAAGGAGAGCATCAGCTTCAGTCAGAACGTCTCACTGGTGCTTCACCCTTTGAGGGACTCGGCCTACCCTATCTTACCTGGCGGCCTTTTCAATGGGTTCCTGCACTGCCATCAACCAACCAACCCACTCACCACTTGTCCCAACGAACTTCAGGACGACCGATGATATTCTTGCCTAGAATCTTTGGCAGACTGCCTCCAGA